CCTCCATGCAGCCCCATTTATATCTAAGCGCGTCCTCTGAGTCACACACACACACACACACACACACACACACACACACACACTGAGAGTGACTCGCGCACACGCGGACGCCGGCACACCGGTAGAGACGTCAGGATTGGACGCAGCAGGGGATCCCCAGCATTCCATTTCTGCCTCGCTTGGCGTATCATCATCTTTTACCGGGAGGAGATGAGCTCGCGCCGGTTCACACTCGCGGAGGGACGCAGAGGTAGCAGCTGCAGAGGACAGTCTTGTTTCTCCGTTTCACTGGAGCTTGCTCTTCCACTCTCTTTCTCTCTTGTAATAGCTTCCCCATTCTGTGCAACAAACTGTTTGTATTGTAGCTGTCGCGTGCACTGGCCGCCGGGTCAGCGCGAGGAAACAGCGGGGAGCAGAGGGGGAAAGGTGTTTCACCTGCTAGTTGATGTTTTGAAAAGAAAAGGACGTTCGGAATAAAACAGCCACCTCAGATGAACTCTTTGTTAGTTTAGAACAGAAGAGCCCGTCGCTCCATCACTTGGTTTTTTCGCATAGATCTTCTGACATTCAGGCGCGCCTTGCTGCTGGTTTAGACAGAGCACCATCGTGCCTCTGTGGGTCGCACGGCGTTTCCTTTTATTACTTAAAATCACAAACAGCGTGGAAAAAGGCGAGATAGTTCCCCGGCCCCCGCAGATTCAACAAAGTAGTGAAATGGTTGGTGCGATGCCTGTAGTTTTCTTAATGATGATTTCCTTTAAATGCTGGGTTCAGCATTAGGATAGAAGAGACGATAGAAAGTGGAAGTTTTTGCCCTTTTTTCCTCAAGTCCAACAAAGCGGCTGCTGCTGTTGTCATAATCTAGAAGAGGAGGACCCCCCAACCCCCCATAGGACGAACAGGTAGGACAGCCCCGATCCCATACCCACTGCCTAGCATGCACATATGTAAAATCCTTTTCTTACATCTGTGGCGTGGATCCCATTCTCATCTCAGTTGCTCGTGTGAAACACTGTTTCACTATTTTTCGCCAGTGCGGCACAAAGAACAACAATCAAACCACACGTGCCTAATACAGTTGTAACTTTTCTAATTGGCTGGCTTGGTTTCCCCTCCGTCGTGTACAGTGAGCTGAGCGGAGCCGCTCTAAAAGTTGGTTGAACCGCTTTTGGCCCTGCGCTTTTAAACCAGTTATACGCCGAATGGTGTCAGATGAAAAAACTACATTTAAATCATTTCTTTATTAACTGCGCCAGTGACGGTCCTTTCTAATAAATGCAGTGTTGTGAATGAACAGCATACCGTGCTTACTCGAGGACTGAAGTATTGTATACTAAAATAAAAGACAAATAATAGCAGTTAAATGTTTACTGTATCTTTGCTGTTTTTATGATATGTTGGGGCACATTTGGGGTTGAAAATAGCTTGGTTTGGTTGAACAAAATAAAATTAAAAAAACGCAAACTCCAAATAATTCATGAAGAAAAACACATCAATCTGAGTAACACGGGACTGAGAAGTCTTTGTGTCGGGTTTTCACAGGCATCTCCTTCAGTCTTAAACCAAACTCCAGCTGGATTCAGTGCGTTTCCACGAGTGATATTAATATTATATTATTCTTTATTATACATCTTAGAGTTCAAGCAATAGTATACAGTTTGCTGCTTGTAATTAGAACAATTTCCTGTGAATTAAATGTCATTATAATTAAAAGATCCCTGCTCTTAAATCGTTCTGCAGGCACTATGAAAAAACGCTGCGTTATGATGTGTTTTTCCTCATTGTGCTGACTACAAATACAATCCACTCCCTGCTTTTGTTATTTGGTACATTTTGAGGAATAGATGCAGAGAGGGAAGGTGTATGCAAAAGCTTGAATGCCTGAGCCAAGCGCTGCCACCAGCGGGATTCTCACTGTAGTGAAGGTTAAAGTGGCAACAAAGACAACAAAGATGAGGGTTTTCCTCCTGCATCATACCTTCCCTGTCTCTTCTTTATCTATCTATCTATCTATCTATCTATCTATCTATCTATCTATCTATCTATCTATCTATCTATCTATCTAT